TGGCACTTCCTGTCCATCCTTACAATTACCAGCTAACACATTACACATGTCACTTTTTTGACTGCCTAATCATCTGTCCCTCAGCAGAAGCTCTTACTTCCTGGAAATCAGGCATCTATGCCACTTGTGGAAAAGCTTGGATTTCCCTGACTGAGAAGGAGAGTATCTTGTAAGTAAGTACCCATTGAGTCTACAGAGATACGGAAGAAGGCAGAAGGCAGAATACTGGCAGAGCTCAAACGGTAGTGTGACTACAAAAAATATGTGGGGAGAAGGACCGAAGACGAACCGGAAATGCAGGAACGAGATCAAGAGGTCTTCAGAACCATGATAAACATTTAACTCACGGTTTTAAAACTGAAGAGTTACTGAAAAGACAGTAAGTCCCAGTTTATGTTTTAGACCACGGTCACTGATGCGGGAGAGGGACGGTGAGGAGCAGGAGGCCCCGCACTAGAGAAACGAGAGTGTTAACACCTGGGACATGAGACGGGCGCAAAGACAGGTTCTAGGATGCCTGAACACATGGCTGAGAATAAAAGAGAAATCCAAGTGTCCGTGCTCCAAGTGTCCCCATGTCCCCGAGGGTGTTTTACTGCGCTCTCAAGGTGGCCACCCCACTGCACACGAAGTACCGTCTGGCCACACTTTGCTTTGCGTCTGCTAAGATAAGGACAGAGCATTGTTCAGGTTTCGGGGCATATGTGCACACATCTTTTTAAAAGCTCTATTAAAGTTATGAGTTGATGTTTTCTTAATATAATCTGAATGCAAGACCTTTATGTGATAAAAGAATTACAAATATTCCTTCCTATTCTGTAAGCTTCCACGTTGTTGAAAAAGTTGAAAATGTTCTGACTTGAGAATTTTTACACTTGATAACATCCAATTAGTTAGTTATTATTTTTAGATTTAACTTTTGGTAGTATATCCAAAAATCTATTTCCAGATAAGAAGTTACAAAGATACACCATCATGTTTTCTGAGAAAAGCTGTGTGATTCTGGTTCCTCCTGAGAAAGGCCACTGATCCACTCTGAGTGATGCGTGTCTGTGCAGGCCCAACTCCCTCCTTCCAAATGAGGGTATCAAGCTGCACCAGCCCCATCACAAAGGTGTGTCCCAGAGCCTCAGTTTCAACGTTCTGGATAAGTGGATCCCAGTAACAACATGTCCCACCGGCTGACTGTGGAGTTAGCACCCAGACAACTAAACCTACCAGCTGCCACACTGACACTGCCAAAGACCTTATAACAATAATCAGGAACATGCCCTCAATGTCAGGACAGAACTGACAAGCTGAAATTAGGAATAAAAAGGAAGAGTGCCATGATGATGGAAATCTGCTCCCTCCCATGAATCACTGCTTTGGCATGCATACCTTATACTCTGAAAATCCTCTCCTGGTGAAAAACCCAAACTCTAGACTTGATTGGCAAGGAGGTACCTTAGAGAAAAGCTCACTTTGTACATTCTTGGAATAAATGTAATGCCTGTATCCAGAACTTCCAATTATTTGTGACGCGTACTGAGCAGGACAGGAGCCTGTGAACTCTGTATCAGGACTACACACCACCCACTAAGTAGTTTGGGCCCTACTGTCAGCAAACCACAAGCTTCAGAGATCTGTATTTATGTCACTTTCCCCACATCTGTAACTGTGTCCATACCACAGCTTTGGTCACTAAGTCTACGGCAGTACTGAAATGGGAAAGTGAGCATCTTCCTCATGACTTTTATTTTTCAAGGCTGTTTTGACTAATCAGGATAACTGCAATTCTTCAGGTTTGAGGACAGGCACTGACATTTTAAGAATGTTTCTAAGCCTCTCATTTCAAGCACAACATTTCATTCCCATATTAAAATTCTTTGTCAACGCTGGGTAGGCTAATATGCTGATCAAAACAACAGGCAGCTGAGGAACAGACGCTGAACGAAAAGCATACTGTTAGCACTCTATCTTCTGCCACCGCGTCAGCAAGCTGTAAAAACTGTACGCATACCCACATTGTATTTTACTGTAGTGCATCAGCAAACCAACTCTGTACCACCAGGCAGAAAATGAAATGGCCAATCAGCTTTGGAGACTTTTCATTTAATCGTTTTAAAGTGTCCAGTCAACAATACACCAAACAACACTGGTCAGATCAGAGTCTCAACTAGGAACATAAAGTATTAATTAGCTTAGACTTTCCCAAGTAAACCCCTAAGATTGCTCATTGACTTCTACGAGCTTTTTAAAAAGAGTGCTCACTGAAGACACACATAGATGTGTTACCTAGGAAAGGAATTCCTGCATAATAGCGAGAAGAGTGTTGAGGGACAGACATGATCTGTTCTGAAGACTGTCCTATAAACAAACACTTTCAAGAAAAGCTGTAAGAAAAAGCATTCCTCATCTGAATAACATTCAGTGGAACTTTTCCAAATAAAGTAAAAGAGAAAAATAGACATAAGATTTATTTATTCTATTCCAAATTGTCCAGGTCTACTATCATCAAGATTCATGACCCCACTGGCAATTATCTTGACTTACAGGGTTTCAAAATCTTAGTTTTATAGTCCATACATGTGCAAAGAGACAGCCCAGGGGTCTGAAATCCTCCATCTCTAAAAATAACCTAGGTGTACTGTCTAAAGGGAAAAACCCTCAACCTCTAATAAATTCCTGAAGATAGCCATACTGGATAGTCACATATTAGACATTAGGTCCATACCTAAATAGACACAAGATTAATATTCTACATTATTATTTAAAATTAAATAGGAAAATAAACCATTCTCACTATATAGCTGCCAAACCCAGCCTATAAAATGGTACTCTGAGAGAATTAAAAATATGTGGATGTCTCACATTTTACGCATGAAGGAACACAATGAAAAGAAAAGGCCAACAAGTTTTTCAGCAGCTGGAAATGTTAATTTAATTACTGAAAAGAAATCATGCAGAGAAGCTAGCTATAGAACATAATTTTCAAAGCATAGAGGAAGTTATATAAAAATATCAATAATATTTTAGTACCTAGTGTAGTTGTAATCCCAGACTTCTAGAATGTACGGATAATATCTGATCAGAAAACATCTGCATAAAAATATTAGCAGTCCAATAATATCAAAACTCTTAAAATATATTTAAATATACAAGATGTGCCAGTATCCTAATAATGTTGAAAATGTATTTTAAATATTCAAGCAATAAAAACAGTACTATTCATTTTTAATTTGTGATTAAAGATAAATACTACAAAGTCTGTCTGTCTGTCTAAATGAATATGCTAAAGTTCCTGTGAAAAACATAGCTGGGGCTGAAAAGACGGCTCGGCTGGCCAAGGCTGAGAATGGACACAGGCCCCACGTGTGAGCTTGTGCAGCAGTGCCTCTGTCACAGGAACAAAGAGGGGCCGACCCCAGACCCACCGTGCAGGCAGCCTGGATGCCCTGAGGAGCTCCAGGGCTGTTGCCAGAGTAAGATGGAGAGCATCAAGGAAGCGGCAACATCGGCCTCAGCTTCACGCGAGCGCGAGCACCCGAGGGCCACGTGCCCTAATACACACCTACACACGCCATTCACACAGCGGTAATGAAGTATTTTCCTAACGAGTATACCATATAAAAGGAATTATGATTTTATTAATTAAATCAAGCAAATTAATTGGCCACATGGTATGTAGTTCCACTGAGAAGTGGAGTTCCAATGAGAAGTGAGTTCCAATGAGTTCCAATGAGAAGTGAGTTCTATAGCATAATAAATGAAATTCAAAGCAGTATTGTATAAAAGAACATCACGAAACTCTTACAGAGATGAATTCTAAATTAAATTGGCTCTGAAAAATAAAATCATTAAGTGATAAATTTTATTACATCTATTTTGCAGATGTATACAGGTTATGCAGAATGAAACTGCAAGAAACAATTTTTTTACAAAAACTTTGTCTTAAAATGCATGTATTCATGCATATACCCTATTTATAAGGTCCACCGTTGCACATCGTGTTATTTATAATTCACTTCCTGTTTACAGCTTTAAAAAAAAAACACTTTAAAAAAAGTCGAGATGTATACCTGATTGGTGCTTATGACATTAATAGAACATCAACACAAAACAAAACAAAAAAACGATGTCATGGAAATGATAAAAAGCGAAGAACCACAAAGATGTACCCTCAGAGCAACACGTCAGCAGTGACTGATAACTGAGTCCTAGCAGCATCTCCACTAGCAGAGGCTTCGTCCGCATATACAACAGCGTCTCTGTTTGTAAGAAAGTAACCAGCAGCGCAAAAAGTTCAGAAAGTTAATTTAAGGCCAAACTATGGATGACCTTTACACTATATTCACTAGTCTGTACTGGGATGGTTCCCATTGCTTATAAACCACCAGAAAAACATTTGAGCTCATCTATTTTTCAGAGAGAAAGAGCCTACACTACTTGTTACATGTCTTCCATTTCCCACAAGTGTTCTTGCCAAATCTTCTATTTCATCCTGTTTAGTCATTTATATGTCTATGAACCAGTCTTTCCCCTTAGAGTTCACGTCTGTTGCACATGTCCAGGAGGAGCTCCTAAAATAAGCAGTGGCACAGGATGCCCAACACAAAACACGGCCTCTCAGGGACGACAGAATGAGAGCTGCAGGCTTAGCAAGACGACTCAGCAGGCAGAGGACCAGACCTCCAAACACAGAAAACCACAACACACAACAGGAGACCTGCCCACAGAGGGCTGAGTGCTTTACTAATTTTTCTGTTTGAGAAACCATCAGACCACAGAGCCATTCCCATCATCAAAAGCAAATCAACAAAACACAGAAGGTACTATGAGCAAATGGCAGCTGAACTGGTACTGAACCAAGAGGGCTTTCCCAGAATCCTCCATGATTTTCACAAACTTAATTTCTAAGATGAATAGCTTTAGATAACACTGTCACTCTGTTCAAGTAGCTGATTACCATCTACAACAGGAGCGACCTGACTGACACCAAGCACACAGGAGCATCTTACCTCAAATTCTGCATGTCTGTGAATGTCCTCTGCTCTCTGCCTGCTCAGGATAAATTCAGCTTCATTTGCTACTCTTACTAAATGGTCCTTCATTGTCTGGCTGAGTAACCTGTAAGAGATAAACATTGTCACATCAATACATCATTATGTATTTGATATCATGGTCAGTCAGGGCTCAACAGTGGGAGCTTTTCTTCTCTTGATGAAAAGGAATATTTAATCCCTTGTTCTTACCTCACACATAGTGAGGTATCGAAAATATTTCACTTTAGTAAGTGGAAGAACGCAGCAGCAGCAAGGGCTTACACTCTGGACACAGTGGATGGGTTTGTTTCACACTGGCCAACCAAAGAAAGCAACTGATAACTCCACATTAAAGCTGTTTCGGGAAGAGTGGGTGTTGGTGACTTCTGTCCTAGTCCATGACATCAGGGAGGCTGAGCTGTAAGAGTGTGGGCCTAGTAGGAATCAGGTTGCCAGAACTGTGCCTTTAACTGGATTTTGGAATTTCAGTCTTTCCTCTCATGTTTCTTCTGTAGACACTCTCACCATGGTGTAGTGTCTGACCAATAGCCAGGATTGAACCCTTTGAAACTATGAACAAAGAGATGAGCTGCATGGACCAACCAAATGGGTACTGTGGTTACATCATGGCAGCGTTAACACGTCATGGCAGCCAATATCTAAGGAGGCAAAGAGCCCCAAGGAAAAAGCACACAAAGGCATTCAGCTTTTCTCATTCAAAGGTAACACTGCAGAAGCAAAACAAAGCTATCAGCAACCTCACAGACCTAAAGAGACCAAGACAAGAAAACACTCTGACAAGATGGAGGTGTGTTGAGTCCCAGGCTTTTAGCAGAATTACAAGCTTCCTCAGAAACTAGAGTAGACCTGGAATCAAAAAACTGAAAAATATTTCAAAAAAACATTACAGAAATGAACATGTTCTTCATTCAATTCCAAAATGGAAATACAATTCTCAATGTTGCTTTTTTAGTGGTAACTATAAAATGAAAGCTTTAATTAGCTGTCATACAAAGAGAAAAAGTAAGCAAAACTTTCAGCATGGTCAAAATAAGAGGGATTATGAAGAGCCCCTAAGGAATACATGCAAGGGAGGACAAAGTCTGAGGTCATTACAGCGGCATAATTCCAGTCAAGACGCTGTCACCAACCTCTGCATCCTTGTTGGTCAAGGAGCTGCAATCATAAAAAAAAAAAAAAAAAAAAAAAA